GATGAAATTTATTTCTCCAAAAAACTTTACAGTTCTAGGGATATTCATTATACTAAGAACAGCTGTAATAGTGTTATATATTCTGTTACACTGAGAAGAGCTGTACGAATAACAGAATACAATCAGTAGTTACCACTTCAAACTACTGTGACGTTCAGACATATGCACCCCTCGGACTTCCAGGTGCTTAATGAGAACTATTTTTTTCTCAGCGTCAGAATGGGCAGCAGACCTTTGGAAGAAATTTGCAGCGGAAACCCCCCTAGTGTGGTTTCCGGTCATAAAGGACTAATTATTCTCTTTCTAGGTTTTTAACAAAACGAGGAGAGATCTTTGTGTAAAAAGCTTTTGATGCTGTAAACGAGTGAAAGCAGACGCATCTTAGCGTCGTTGCCGCTTCAGCGGCCTTTGTATGAATTATGGTTGAAATGATTGAATTATTTTAATATTTATTTAAGAATTTCTTATTAAGTTTTAAAAATAAATATTTTAAAAGAAAACCTGTCTTTTCTTGCACCCAACACGGGTGTTCTGACGTTACACTGCTAAGAACGTTACACAAGGCAATACAAATGCGTAGCCCTGTACGCAACTCTCAAATGCCTACCCTACACAGTGATCTCTCATTATTATCAATACCCTGAGTTAAACTTTAAGAACTCATTTCTAAACTAAACTAGAAACTGATGCCAGGTAACGTGTTTGTGAATGGATGACAATCTGGTACTGCAACGTTAACTAAAAATTAAAATACTATATTACGGACATCTTCGGCATTTACCGGTTGTACAAGGTCACATTTTCTTGGTGACAAAGAATCTCCAGGGTAAATTTATTGGTGATATTTTAATAACCTTTATCTGTTTTTTGTTCTGATCTTAATTTCTCTTGCTACGTTTTCTTCACTTTAGCTGCTAGGCATTTAATTAATAACGATAAATAACTATATCTTACAGAATTTACCTCAAACGAAGTCAAAAGCTACAGCTGTCCTTCAGATAGCCTTCCTAAATTAAACAACTGCACAAATATCCAGACCATGAAGTTAAATTTGGAAAATGAAAATAAATGGTAGGACAAGATAAACAGTCCCCGACAGAAACATGGTCTTCCAGCCAATAAATCCCTTTGATATTTGCTATTTACCCTGATTTTTTTCCCTTGGCGAGAAAAATCTGTGCCATGAAAATGTAACCCTAACACTAAACACTAAAAGCGATATCATTTCACCTCTTTTGAAACCGCGCTGTACTCGAATATAGTCGGGTTTCCGAGCCTATGGGAGGAAATCCAGTTGCATTGGCTCGGAATGTGAGGAAAGACTGTCTTTCATCTTTTCCCATAACTGCCTTGCACATACTGTTAACTACACTGGAAGACAAAATTAAGATATAGAAAAAATTGTCCACATTTCTCCTAAAATAGCACACGAAACCTGGACAGTTGGTCGCTATGTAATGTCACTGTGGCGCCGGTGTCGCTGAGATGAGTTTACGTATTTCTGTGGGCGTCACTACGCCAGCAGGAGGTATAAAAGTCCGCCTCTAGCTACTCATCTCATTCCGCTCTGCAACACAGTAGTGATATTGCCTTTCTTGAACAATCTCGTTGTTTGCTGTTCTTAGGTGAAATGAGTACACGTCATCGCTTATCGAAGGTACGAGTTGGAGAATCGTGGGTAGGCTTCAGGCAGGCAGTCCCTAGTTTAGCTTGCAAGAGAGCTGGATGTAACATCAAGTGTCAACTCTAATTTGTGGAATTAGTTTAAAAACAGCGGGACAGTGTCCAGAAGTCCAGGACAAGGTTGCCAGACATCCCCAAATGACCAATGGCGACCGGTATTTGGTACTTTCAGCCAAGCGCCAAAGGACGTCTGAAGCTACACCTCGTAATTTCCCTACTGCCACAGGAACATCAGTGTCAAGGAAGACAGTTGCCAGAAGGCTCCATGAGACAGGACTGCATGCCAGAAAGGTCCGCTATTTGCATCCCACTCATTCGATCCCACAAAATAGCATTTACAGTGGTACATATAATACCAACACTAGATACGGCTTCAATGGGCTAATTTTTCTTCACGGATGAGTCCAAATTCAATCTAAAATCTTATTCGGCTATTGTTGATATGGAGAGAACCTTAGACCTGATACCTTCCCAGCAACATCATGCAAAGGGATCAGTATAGTTGTGGAGGAGTGATGCTGTGGACAGCATCATGTAAGAGAACCGCACATCGCTCCATTTGTTTGACACTGGTTCCGCGAATGCCCAAAGGCACAGGCAGTAGGTTCTAGAGCTCTATGTGCGGTTTTTCAGGGGTTCTTGTTGGCCGTGAGTTAATTTGTATGGGAGACAATGCACGACCTCATAGGAGCCACCTGGTTGATGATTATCTGGAAAGCGAGGGTATTCACAGAATGGACTGGCCAGACAAATCTCCTGACCTTAATCCTATTGAGCATGCTTTGGATACTCTTACAAGGGCTAATGCAATACACCATCCTCCACTCAGAACCATTAAGGAGTTAACCGCTCTGGTAGACGACTAGGTGAGACTTCCACAGAGCACTCGTGAACTCTCTTGTTAACAGCATGGCTACTCGCTGTGTATGCTGTCTGTCTATCAGCGGTGACCACACAATATAGCCACATTTTTACTGCCATCCTTCAACCTCAGGTTTATACCCCAATTTAACGGCATTTTCATTGCTCTTTTGTACATATTATTGCCACACACTAAACTAATCTATATCTAACTTCCTTTATTTTTATCCAGTATTTCTCGAGATACTCGAAAAAAGTGTCCAATCTCTTAATTTTGTCCACCAATCTAGAAGGAGTAGGTTGTAAGAAATTTTAATTTTCTCAATTCTCATGTAAGCGAAATTAATTTAACTTTTATGACTATATTTTAGTTCGTCTTCATGAAATAGTTTTTGTGATACGTTAAAAAAAGTTCGAAGTAAAATATATTTACATAATAATATAACCTTTAATTAGGAGAGGAGAGAGGAACGAACAGCTAGTCCATATACCAAAAATCATTATGAAACGTGAGTAACGTATGAAACCATTTTATGACAACGTGTTCGCTGATAAGCTGTCAATGTTACAACCTTATGGGCTCGACAGTTTGTCTACCACATTATTTTGCATAATGTATTTACACAAAGATAACACAAAAAGACACACAATATTTACAAAATGTAGATGTGTTCCGTACATTCTCATTTGTACAAACAAGAAACATGACAGTGGTCATTCCAAAGTGGAATATTATAAAATTTCAAAATGATTAAGAACGGTCAAACTAAGAAATAATCTGCTTTTCTAGTGTTATATCCTTTTTGAGATAAAAATGCTTTTGATTATTTGTTTAAATTTTATGACATGCATCAGACTGTAACAGCATAATCATTCATATAATGTATTATCATAAATATATCATTAATGCATTATTGTTCACGTTAGTCTCCATATCCAAATTACTGTAAACTCTCTGTAATAACGACCATGTCCTTAAGATAACCACTTCTGAAAGTGATCTGTATTTTTGACAGAATAAATAAATAGCAAAACTGAATTTCAGTTCTCTAAGGCGACCACCTTACTGGCTTAGGGCGGCCGTCTTAGAGAAGACTACAGTTTCCATCATTGTCTAGTTTCTTTCAGTGAAAATTATGGCACTCTATTGTGAGTTGTATTATACTGTGTTTAGTCTCCTGTGCTTTGTTAGATATTAGTATCATATTTTAAAAGTTCTCTTAATATTTTTTATTGCTTTACGTCAAATATGGTGTCAGGAAAAGTTTTCAAACGTGTCTATAATTTGAAGTCTTTCTATCATAGACGATCTTAGTTAAAGTTCTTAGCCGCCACTTTCATTAATTAAGACACTTTAGAAAGCGTTTTAGTCTCAAGTATAAATATTTTCTTTTTTAATCTTTCATTCTTGGAAAACATAACCACCTTAATGAGACACATAATGATAATAAATTACTTAAACGATGAAGATTAAAAAAATAAGATGCACGTACGGGGAATTAAAAAAACCTTTTTTTTACAATAAAAAAAGCTTACTTAATTGAAGTAAACATTTCCTTGCGAGTAAAAGGTAGAATGTAGAAGTAATTGTCTGTAAAATTAAAGCATTTACGGGGAACTAAATTTTTTTCTCTGCATCTCATAACGCTATTTTACCATGAAGTTCAACTATCGCAGAATTTCAGGAAACCTGTTTTTGAGTTTATTATTCATAGCCAGGGATTAATCATTAGGTTTTGGGTTTTTAAGGGATAAAAGAATGCGTCAACGTTCAAGAGAAAATCAACGATCCAGTAGTTTTTAATACGCCTCACTTTAAAACTTCTCCTTTGGGATATAATTTTCCGGCAAACAATTTCGCGAACTTAGTAAAGTTATTTCCTAGAAACAAAAGGTGAGAGTTGAATAAATTTATTTAATACATGATGCAGAATTTGTAAGAAGCATTGTTGGTCTCACAGTGAATGTAAATATTCATGTTTTATCTAGTCACATTTATGATATAATTTTCTGTATACATTACCACGCAGCCAAGCAGAAAATTCGGTTTATGTAGGATATTTGGAATGCAAAATGTGCTTTTAAGTTATTGGAAAATATAAAGAGTGTATGGTGTAAAAGAAGATTTTTGACGTGATCAAAGCAAGTTAAGAGTCAAAATTGTTGTTATAGTTAAACATCCGAGAAGAAGATTATTTTCAAGGCATATTTTTAACATATGTTTTCTTTTTGATTACAATAATAACATTTGTATGCTTAATTTAAAATACAACATATGAGGCGAAGATTAAGGTTATTTCCTAAAAAAAAAAATTGAAGTGTAATTTACGCGGGGAAAATTCATGCTGCTTAAAAAGATCAGTTGGGGATACAAGGTTGAAATTTTCAAATATTTTACAAAGCAAATAAATAGTAATAAATAAGGGAGTACGTGAATATTTAGTTAATCATTTTACCTGTTTCTGTGAGATGATAGAATATTGCAGTCAAATATGTTCTTTTCATTAAGTAAGCTGAACTATGGCCCACTATCCATCTTGAATAGTATGAAAAGTTTACCAGCAGCATAGCGGTAAAGCCCCTGAGCCCTGATAGTTTCTTCCGGGGTTCGAATCCTGGCGATTTGTTGACTGCATGGGCGTTTACGTGATTTTCCTCCTGTGTACTGTGCATATGAGCCATTTTCCTTAAAAAGTCGTCCACGAAGGCATCCGTCACCTTAAGCAGGTAGATTTCGAGTGCTTTGCTGTAACTAAATAAACCAAACAAAACCAATCAAGTTTTGATAAATTTCAAGTAATATGTGATATTTTCAAAATCCACCATTTATTGGAGTTTGAAAAAATAGGAACCAAGTCTCTGTTTCTATTTTCAGTAACTGAAAACAGCAATGAAAATATTATTTTTAAAAAAGATTAATAATTTCATTAAAAACTGTATAAGGTATTTCTCCGGCCTTTTTAGAATACCTTCGTGGTGTAGTGGTCAGCACGCTTGGCGCGTATTCGAGAGATCCGTGGTTCGAGTCCCGGCGAGGGTATTGCTCATTTTTCATCTCTCCTGCTTCCAAATAACCTAACGTCTCTACAGCGGCGCCAGAACTAAAAAAGTGATGGATGATGATTCTCCACCACTAGGATTTGGCGACTGCGTTACCTAATCTCCAGTTGCCCTTTAAAAAGGGGAGTGTATAAGGTATTTCTCCCAATTTCTTAGCATGCCTTCGTAATTCGTTCGATGCGTATTCGAGAGGTCCATGATTCTAGTCCCGGCGAGGGCATTGCTCATTTTACATCTCTCCTGCTTTCAAAAAATACTTAATGTCTCTTCAAATGAATAAATTAAATTCACAATCAATACAAAAAACTAAGACAAATACAAAAAAGAGATTTTAAGTGATTAAATTAATGAGATATTCCAGAGCAGACATAACCTGTTTATTTTATTTAAGAATGCCAAGAATATTCACGTCTTTTCACGCAATCGCCGCCACAAGCTTTCGATAAGGTAGGAATAAAAACAGCGATCTATGAAGCGCTGATACTTATTTCGTCTTTCGCATAAGGCATGTCGTATCAGGAATAACAACATTGTGTTTTGGATAACCTGTAGGTGTTCAAATCCCGCAGCTGCCAATTTGTTCTCTTAAGCAATCAAAAATTTAGAAGAGAAAATATATATTTTCAGTCTTTTCTCAATTCATCATATAAATATTCAATTTTCTTAGTAAGATGTCTAGCAATTTTCTTTTGTCTTACTTGTTAACTTTTTATGTATTACCTTTATTTATTAAATATTAATTTCTTCTCACTTACAGCGCATAAAATTCAATTCAGCGGTAAAACCTCAAATTATTTTAAAACAACATATCTTTAGAATTCCTGATACAGTGTTAGGAATTGTCATACATTTTTTTTTATATGCGTTATACCATATCTTTAAAGCCTTAGCCGCTTACGCGGTCATTCACATAAAGTAATTATCATAAAAATAGAAAAGAAATATAATAATTTTAATAAGTCCAGCTAATGTAATTACATAAAAATATTGAATATTTTTAATTAAACATCTCAGGATTTTAATATATGTTAATTTAAAACAATGACATGAAAAAGTAGAAAATGTATTCTTAAGCACTGTGTTTATTGCTTTTAAATCGTTTAGTTTATTTCTTACGTTTCAATTAAATTTGAAAGTAACTTAAGCTTTGAGGAATGGCAATACGCTGACGCATTGGAAGATTAAAGTAATTACTTTCGGCCACTGCAACACATTGCGTTAACAGAGCCGAGTTTGCTAATTATTATATAATAATAAATATCTTAAAATTTTCCGAATGGCAACATTCTCGCTCGCTGGAGATAAAATGTTTTATTTCGAACAGTGTTGCCACTGCTCGCTTTCAGATCGTTGAATTTGTTAATCAGAAATTCAATAAAGATGTACAAAATATGATACAAATAATAAAACGAATTGGAAATTAAAAATTCGAGCTTCTAGGTACGCATATGTTATTCAAATTTGATAGCTGTAGAGATATAATGCGAGAAACATACATTCACACAGGCTGATTTTTCATTATTTAATTTCTTTAAAATTGATACAGGGCGATAATAAAAGTAATACGCCATTTTTAGTGAACCAGCGTAATGTACCATTTCAAGATTTATAGTTCCTTTTAGGCTAAAACAGGAGGGTGTAATTTTTGCAATTAAAAGTTTGTAGAAACGAACTTTAAACAGTACTACTTCTATGTGTACGTAATAATGTATGACTTAACCTATCGAGAATTGTATGCTTCCAATGCCATTTAAAATCGACGTTGGAAGCATACATTTCTCGATAGGTGAAGTCATACATTATAACTTAACCTATCACTATTTCGTGTTAAAGAAGTTTCACTATTGAGAAAAGTTAACATGACTTTAAATTTCATGTCTACACATTCACTTACATTAGCTTATTGAAAATTTCGAATTGGCAAAGTTGGAGTAAACGAAGTTGTAATGTTATAAGCAGTTAAATTATTCTCCGCTTTCTTATTCCAGTCTTTCATTCATAAAACCACACTTTTCTAGTTCGTAAAAGGTTAGCCGCTCAAGTTTCTCATCACCAGGTAGAGGACTGGAAAGTTTGAGCGTTACGTAGCAACACCTACCGAGTTTAGCCGCTTATAAATCTTAACCTTTTCAGTCATAGCTGCGGGGCTCGCGTAATTCCCATCGTGGTCGAGTGCTTCGGCAAATTGGCTCTGATGAGATCAGCGGTGCATGCTTATCAGGTGATCTCGCTTCTGTTCGGATGCAGTGGCCCATCGAAATAGCCTGAATTTTCATTCGACCATCTTATTTGGGAGATGATGTTGGCGAGATTGTTGAAACAAACGCTACATACTTGCTTCCTTCCGGAGGGGTAAAGCCTGAGACTGAACCCTGAAAAAAGAAGACAAGAAGTTAAAAATGGAAAATGAAGAGAAGTTAATTTGGATTTTACTTTTTTCACAGATGAGATGAATCCTAATTTTCTCGGATTCGCATTCGAGGAGATTCTTAAATTTCCGAAGCAAAGTCCCGCGCGCTCGAGATGATTTTTTTTTTTCCCGTACAATGTTGACATCCATTGCTTTCTTTGAAATCGTTGAGTTTCTTAATTAAAAATTCGTTAAAGTTTTACAAAATATGAAATAGATAATAAAACAAATTCCAAATGTCAAATTTGGGCTTCCAGATGCCCATATTCGGTGGAGGATTACGTTATTCAAAATTTGGTGGCTCTGGGTGCCGTTGTTTTATCACAATGCGAGAAACATACATACATTTGTGCAAATTCTTCATTATTTAATTTCTTTAAATATAATGCAGGGCTCTAATATTGGATGGCAACAATTTGAAAAGTGAAACTCCCTTTATAGGGAATCCACGCAAAATGCCAAAACGAAATTAATAGCCCTTCTGAGAAAATTGCCCCTTGGGATAAACATTTTTACTTAATATTAAAAGTTTTAATTAAAGCTCACTTTGAAATATGCATTTTCACGAAGAACGAATTTAAACATACAGTTTCTGATGATATGTTTATATTTATCAAAGTAGGTAAAACGAATTTAATAAATGTGAAACTCCTGTAATGTTAATTAGCTTAAACTCGACTTACGTTACGACTTAATAGCTAACCACAGAGTTAACAACCGACTTGGCGGTTTTCCTCTACTCGTTTCATTTAATAGTTAATTTAATATAATTTCAAATATTTAATTTTAATCATTAATTATTTTAATTTAATTCATTATTTTATTTCAATTATTTTCATAACAATATTAATGATTTAATCAGCACACAAAGTTAAATGTTAAATCAAAAAATGCTTTTAGCTATAAATTTTTAAATTAACTGCAAGACCACTCCTTTTTAATAGATTTAAAATGATAATATACGCTAAAACCATTTCTTTTCGCAATACAGTAGTATCTTGGCATACGTCATTAATCCATTCGAAACTTACACCAAATAAAGTTTTCCAATTAGAAATAAAGGAAAAATAATTAATTCGTTCTTATGAAAAATCCTATTGTTATTTTATATCACTTATTTTTATATCTCATTAAAATACAGATGAAATAAGTGAAATATATACTGTATTAAGAATGAAATACCGAACATAACTGTTTTTCTCTTTTCCAAATCAAAAGGAATTTTTTAACATCCTGTAATATCTCTAATCTGTATGATAACCAGTTTCATCTCCTTCGGAATATAAGCTTATTTAATAACGTTTCTGTTTTCCACAGTCGTAGATACCGTCTTCCTTGGCATACCGTATGCAAGATTAGGTTACGCATGTCATCTTCATATTTTTTAACAATGTCTTTTATTTAACTTCATGGTCAAGTGATCCTAACCATTTTCTTTGTTGCCTGAGTCTTTGCATTAACTTTCTTAAAACTCACTGTAAAAGATAATTATTAATAATCACTATTAACAATAAATTTCACTATTTTGAAAACTTTTTTTAGCAACTAAACAATTAATGCTACTGTTCTGGCAGTGTAAGAGTAAGAGAGATGAGAAAGTGGTACGTGCCAGAACACTTTTCCTAAGAAAACGTACCCTGATTCCTCGTAAGGTGGAAAGTTCTAGTATGCTTTGCTGTAATCGATGTATTAGACGTCATTGTTTGGACCCTTTTCTAGAGTTAAAATGATTTTCCATCTTTGATTGCTAAACTTATGTCATAAGAAAAGTTCGAGTGGCTTAGTAGATATACAAGTACGCAAGATAATTTTATTTCCGGTGTGGTCAAAGGATCAATTTCAAAGCTGGTTTTTGTTTATCGTGATTAATAGGTAAATTTTTAACAAATGGTATGCTTCAGTGTTTTCTAATTCCTCTCTGGTTAGTTGTTCAGAAAATTAGAAATTTGATTGATGGCTGATGGATATTTTTCATGCAAGAAGTAGCTCTGATAACAAGCAAGTTGTAAACTAGCTCGGCATAGCGTTATCTCGCCTCCGATGCTTTTAACTGTCACGCCGGTAATTTATTGAGCCAGCGTATAGCTTAGTATTTAACTGTGTAATCTTAGACTACTGATCAACGATTCATTTGAATTGAGTGTTCTTATTTACAGTGCATTGTCTAGAACTGTGATTACTTAGAGCATGAAGTCGTACATTTATTTATGTTTTTATTTAT